GAACGTTTGTAATATTGTACATGTTGATCAGTCACAGAACTAGTACACTTTAGATCATACCGACAACTATTACTGCAATCATTGAGAATACAATACTGGAAGAAGCAACTCTAATCGAAGCACCCTTACCCTGTAGGACAGAAGCTGTTTGCGTGCTGCTGAATCCACTGCCGATGTTGTCAACAGAGGAACCAGATGATAATAGAACAGTCGTGGCAGCCTGTTGACGTGACGATGGTGCTTGTCCTTGGCCTTGTCCTTGTCCTTGTTGTTGAGCTTGTGAAGGTACAGAGTGTGGTGTTTGGCTACCATGAATACCACTGACTGCAGATGCTGTATTATTTGCAGTCTGAACAGATAAAGATCCAGATGGTACATTATTGCCTGCCGATTGGTGCACTGACCCAGAGCCAGAGCCAGATCCAGATCCAGAGCGACTACCACCGGCTGTGCCAGCAGCTTGTGTTGGCTTTTCGTTGCCAGACCCTTGGCCAGCCACATTTCCTGACTGAGGTTTCTGAGAGTTGACAATACCACCTACACCTGCTGCTCCAGATGCATTAGATCCTGCACCGGATACTGTTGAGGCTGGTGCTGCACTTGAGACAGTGCTGCCATGACTCTGGCCACCCACGGTTTGCGTTACTGTAGAAACAATTGTGTGACCGTGCTCATCAGTACCTGTGCTATGGGATACAACCTCGGTGAACGTGTGACCGTTAGAAACCACAGTGGTGGTGTAATCAGACCCAATATTTGCTTTAGAAATCGAAGGTGCAGGTGCATTGGTGATCGTGGTGGTTATTGTTGTAGGATTACCATTGGAGTCGGTAGTGGTGATATGCGAAATGACATCAGTTTCGGTACTGCCATTGCCCCTGTCGACTGTTGTGGTGTAGTCGGCTTCACCTCCGACAGGGACAGTGGAAATGGTAGTTGGATAGTAGATGTGCCTGTCCTGGTGACTCCATAGTCGCCTATAGATGGGAAGTACGAAATTACGACAGTGGCAGTAGTAGTGTCTGCACTCACAGTTGTCGTAGATACTGGGGGCTGCGAGTAAGCAGGAGCAGAAGTGTATACACCCTCACCTACTTGATCATATGACATAACAGTCACTGTAGTGGTGACCGTCTGACCGATATCATTAATCATTGTAACATGAGAAACAACAGCTGTAATCGTGTGACCATCAGAAACAAACACAGATGTGTAATCTGGTTGTTCTGTTAGAGTCACAGTTGTTATGATCGTGGTAGGGTTGCCGTCAGAGTCCTTGGTCGTGATGTGCGAAACAAGG